AAAAGAAGTCCAGGAGAAAGTCTGAAACATTCTTATCTGTACAGAGACTGAGGAAGAGACAGAGCCAACACAAGGAACAGAACAAAGGAGCCAGTGAATTGGGAGAAACAGGCAAGTGTGGGCTCCTGAGACAAGTGAAGAAAGCATTTCAGTAAAGACAGAATGATTGCTTACGTCAAGACAGCTGTGAGGCAAGGCTGGACCTGAACACTGACCAAGGGGTTGGCAGCACGTTCCAAAGCCTATTTGGAGTGAATAGTGGAGAACTCACAGAGAAGGGAGCACCAGCTATTTTGAGGAGTTCCAGTACAAAGAAGAGCAAGGGAATGAGCAGTGAGACTACTCATTGCAGCTCACGTTTTACTCGACTCTTTCTCTGTAGATGGAAGCTGAGTTTAAGCCAAGGCAGATGTAACAAACATCCATTCACATGTATAGTTAAGGTTATTTAAAAAGAAAAAAATCCCTAGGAATATAAAATTAAAGCAGAGCAGAAAACCAGAATTAGTAACCTACATCTGCCTTGAGGATTTTTTTTTTTTTTTTTTTTTTGACAGGCAGAGTGGACAGTGAGAGAGAAAGACAGCGAGAAAAGTCTTCCTTTGCTGTTGGTTCACCCCCCAGTGGCCGCTGCAGCCGGCGCACCGTGCTGATCCAAAGCCAGGAGCCAGGTGCTTCTCCTGGTCTCCCATGGGGTGCAGGGCCCAAGGACTTGGGTCATCCTCCACTGCACTCCCGGGCCACGGCAGAGAGCTGGACAGGAAGAGGAGCGACCGGGACAGAATCTGGCGTCCTGACCGGGACTAGAACCTGGTGTGCCGGCGCCGCAGGTGGAGGATTAGCCTATTGAGCCATGGCGCCGGCATTGAGGAAATTCTTAAAGTGATATATATTCATTTTACTCACACTGGTTTTCAAATTCTATGTTAAGTTCCAAAATACCAGTAGTGATGATTTAATACCATTATTTTCAAATAAAAATAAATCTGATCTGTTAATCAGTAGCATCTAGAGTTACATTAAATTAATGCATTAATTTTAAAAATTGAACATGAGCCATGTAAGGTTATTCTTTTTTGTTTTTATACTTTTCTCAAGTTTTATGGAGATGATGGTCAATTAAGCAAAGCCTACACAGTGAAAATAACTCATACTCCAATTCCAAGGCTTGTTGAATAAGTGGAATATAAACACTGTACTGGTTTACTGGGGTTGCAGTAACAAATTACCACAACCTGAATAGCTTAAAACAACTGTAATCTATTCTCACATAGTTATGGAGAACAAAATTCCGAAATCAAAGTATCAGCAAGGCCATGCTCCATCTAAAAGTTCAAGGAAAGAATCCTTCCTTGTTACTCTCTGGTTTCTGGTGCTTTCTGGCAATCCATGATACCTTGGGCTTATAGACACATCAGTCCAATATCTGCCTACATCATTACACTGGGTTCTCCCTGTGTGTCTGTAACTCTGTGTGTTCACATGGTCTTCTTATAAGGACACTAGTTACTGGAGTTAGAGCCCATTCTAATCTAGTATGATCTCAACATTATTACATCTGCAAAGATCCTATTTCCAACTAAAGGTGCCTTAAGGCTAGGACTTCATTGGATCTTTTGATTGAATTGTGGGGTACAATTCAACTCATAACAGTAGGAAGTTATGATTTATTTTTAAAGATAATAAAAACTGAAAATGCCTTCTTTGAAACAAACATTATCTTTTTATCAATAAAAGGGCTATAATCCCTCCAAAAAATGTTATTCAAAGAGATATCCTGGGGTTGGCATGGAACCTAGCAGTTAAGGCGCCCACATATCTTATCAGAGTTCCTGGGTAGGACACCTGCCTCCAGCACTTGACTCTGGCTTTCTATGAATGCAGACTCCAACAGGAAGTGGTGATAGCTCAAGTAATTGAGTTCCTGCCATCCAGTAGAGATCTGGATTGTGCTCCAGGCTGCCAGCTTTGGCCCAGTCCAGCACTAGCTATTGTGGGCATTTGGGGTAGAAGGAGCTCTCTATCTCTGTGTCTTTCTGCCTCTCAAATAAATCATTTCTTTTATTTTTTCAAATGATTTCTTTATTTATTTGAAAGGCAAGTTACAGAGAGGCAGAGGCAAAGAGACAGAAAGTGGTCTTCCACCCGCTGATTCACTACCCAGAAAGCCGCAATGGCCAGTGCTGCGCATCCCATATGGGTGCCTGTTCCAGTCCTGGCTGCTCCACTTCTGATCTGGATCCATGCGAATGGGCCCAAGAAGGTAGCAGAGGACTGCCCAAGCACTTGGACCTCTGTGTCCATTTGGGAGACCCGGAAGAAGCTCCTGACTCCTGGCTTCAGCCTGGTCTAGCCCTGGCCATTGCAGCCATTTGGGGAGTGAACCAGCAGATGGAAGATCTCTCCCCCACCCCCTCTGTAACTTTGAAAAAATAAATAAATAAAAAAATAGGGGCCAGCGTATGGCATAGTGGGTAAAGCCACTATGAGCCAGCATCCCATATGAGCACCAGCTTCTCTACTTCCAATCCAGTTCCCTGCTAATGGCCTGGGAAAAACAGAAGTAGTACTTGGGCCCCTGCCACCCATGTGGGAGACCTGGAAGAAGCTCCTGGCTCCTGGCTTTGGACTGGCCCAGCCAGGGCTGTTGTGGCCATTTGGGGAGTGAACCAGCAGATGGAAGATCTCTCTTTTTCTCTCTCTGTAATTCTGACTTTCAAATAAATAATTTTTTAAAAAAGAACTAAAAAAAGTATCATAAGAAATAACATAGATGCATTCACTACACAGAGACAGAAAACATGAAATGAGCCAAGACATGGGATAGTGTAGAATTAAAAAATAAAAAGCTACTTTGTAGGCAATAGGCTTAGCAATTAAGATGTCTGCGTCCCATAATAGAATGCCTGAGTTAGCTACACAGCTATGCTCCTGACTCCAGTTTCCTGCTAATATAGACCTCTGAGGGGCAATGATAATGGCTCAAATGTCTGGGTTCCTGCCACCCACGGGGAAGGACTGGATTGAGTTCCCAGCTCCAGCTTCAGGCTACAGTGGGCATTTGGAGAGTGAGTGAGAAAATGAGAACTCTCTATCTCGAATAAATAAAAATTAGAACAGAAACAGAAAACCTATTAAAATTCATAATTGATCATTAAAAGCTAAAAACCAGGGGTACAAAGGTTAAAGGGGAACTTTCCACTATATCATTACATAGAGAAGTGCAAAAGGCTGGCACAACCTAATGCTGCACCACCTACAAATGAAATCTACTTTAATGACTTATTTTTATAAAGCACTGAATCTTAGGACTATGACAATTCTATATCCATTTGTTGATGAAAGTAGTATTTGCTTACTGAATGTTTCAAAGAAGTAAGTATATTTTATAATATTTCACCAAGTATGACCTCAGTTATCTTAATTCTCAACCAATAGAAAACACATACTTATATCTTTTAAGTTAGGAAAATTCACCTGTTTTCCTCTTGAATCAGTGATGACAAAAATAAAGGTGATCACAGAATAATATTTAAAAACAAAATGACAGAATCATGAATTTTCTCTATAACCAAATGAAAATATATAGTCCTATGAGACACTAACACTGGCAGACTTTTTTTCAGGATTGATATAAGACATAAATCTACAGATAAAGGACACATAACCAACTCCAAGAAAAATAAATAAATCCACATACAAGCATGATATTATTAATGTAGAACAAAGTAAAAGAAAACAGTAGAAACCAGAGGAATAATATCTTTTCACCAAGAACCCCTGAAGCAGTTGTTATATTAGAACTTTTTTTTTTTTTAATTTATTTTACAGGTAGAGTTGTAGACAGTGAGAGAGAGACAGACAGAGAGAAAAGTCTTCCTTCCGTTGGTTCACCCCCCCAAATGGCTGCTACAGCCGGCGCTGATACGATCTGAAGCCAGGAGCCAGGTGCCTCCTCCCGGTCTCCCACATGGGTGCAGGGGCCCAAGCACTTGGGCCATCCTCCACTGCCCTCCCGGGCCACAGCAGAGAGCGGGACTGGAAGAGGAGCAACCGGGACTAGAACCTGGTGCCCATATGGGATGCTGGCGCCGCAGGCAGAGGATTAACCAAGTGAGCCATGGCGCCGGCCCCTATATTAGTACTTGAGAATGAAAGTAAAATCATAATACATCAGACCAGACCAGTGTTTACCAAGGTCAGGGTATTAGTAACAGTTCACTCCAAGTGGCAATACACTGCCCATACAGAATTTAAAAACAGTAATAATAAAATCTAAGTAAAACCCAGCCTCCTTAAGAACTGTGATGCCAATGGTAAATACTCCTGCTGCGTGGATGAACCACTCCTGCCACCCTGCCTATGGTGTGTTGCTGGTCCACACAAAGGAAGCTGAGGGAATTTCTAACAAACCTTTATTAAGGGAACTCTAAGGATATATTTTAGGAAGAAATAAATGGTAAAAGAAAAATTCCTGAGATACAAGAAGAAAAGGTAAACAAACTACTTAAGCATAGATAAACCTGAATAAACACTGATGGCATAAAACAGCAAGAATGTCAATGGAAAGGGGTTGTACGGGTAGAAAACAACCACCAGAGAATGAAAATGCTGGATATCATAATAAGAAAAGGGAAGTTCAAGTTCTCTAGAGACCGTGATGAACTTCAGATTTTTAGTTAAATATACACAATGAATATTTAATAAAAGCCCTAAGAGACTATCTGAGAAGCCAACAGAAGTAAAAAGAAATTAATTACTAAATTATAAATTCACACTATCTAACTTCAATTTGGCCTTTACTATGACTAGACAGCCCTTTCCTATGTCTGCTGATTGTATCACATATCTTAGAGTAACTAGTCCTATTTTTTTCAACACAAATTCCTCCTGTAATGCCATTATTCTTTAAGATAACATTCCCTACCACTTTATAGAGAAATTCACAGCTGCTATATATCCTCATTTGCCCTGGGTTAATAGTAACTTTGCTCTCTTACCCTTTTTCAGTTTCCGGACAGCCAGCATACAATGACTAGGCGAGAGATCCCATATTCTTAAGGTTTTATCATCACTTACAGTGGCACAAATGGGCAGATAAGGATGTGTAGCCAAACCCCACACCTCACCTTCCATGTGTCCCTATAAAGAAAACACAGTTAAGATCAGTTTAACCAGAAGGTAGGTATATGTGTGTTTGTGTGTGTATAACTTTATTTCAAATTTCTACAATAGTCTGTAACGTGATAATGGACAGGATAATGAAGTCTGAAAAAACTTATCTGTTTATCTTTGGATTATACCATAAATATCTTTGTAGTAACTTTATCTCTACAATTATATTATCATTAAGTTACTATCCAAATTAACTTATAATCAAACATTCACTGGGTGGAGAGGATAGAAAGTGGTTGCCTGGAATGTTAGTAATTACCACACAGGAAGCACTTTTGCATGACAGTGTGAGGAGTTATGCAGACCTGCTCACCAGTGAAACTGGAAATAATTAAAACAAACAAACCAGGGGGTCAGTGCTATGGCACAGTAGTGCTGTGGCACTGTGCCTGCGGTGCCAGCATCCCACATGGGTGCTGGTTCGAGTCCTGGCTGCTCTACTTCCGATTCAGCTCTCTGCTACTGGCCTGGGAAGGCAGTGGAAGATAGCACAAGTGCTTGGGCCCTTGCATCCATGTGGGAGACTTAGAAGAAGCTTCTGGCTCCTGGCTTCCGATCAGCCCAGCTCTGGCCGTTGCAGCCACTTGGGAAGTAAACCAGTAGATAGAAGCGCTCTCTCTGTTTCTCCCTCTCTCTGTCTATAACTCTGCTTCTCAAATAAATAAATCTTAAAAAATAATAAAACCAACCATTTAAAATCTCTGAAAATGGTAATAGGGAGATAGAACAAATGAAAGAACATTTACTCAAGAAAATCTGTTAAAATTTAGTTAGAACAGTGGGAGTCTGTGGCATTGCAACTGAGATCCACTCCTTTCTTCCGTTTTCATTCAGATGGAATTGTATTCAGACCATACTAAGAACTCTTGGCTCTCCCCTCAGCTCCTGGTTGGAGGGCTGTCTTCCCACGAGGGATAGAATGTCAGCATTTCTCATTCTGTCCTTAGCTGTGTGTTGCTGAGGTTAAATTCTTGGTGAATGCAGCAGCAGGAAGAGAACCCACTATGGTGCAAAGTCATTGAGAATAATGGGCCCCTGGTAACAACCTAGAAAGACCTGAAACTGCTTCAGCCTAGGCCACTGATAGAGAAGTGTTGAAAATATGGATGCCAGAATCCTCAACAAAATACTAGCAAACTGAATCCAACATATAAAACAATTATATATCATAACCACGTGAGATTTACACAGGAATGCAAGGTTGGCAAAATATCCAAAAATCAATTAATGACATAATCAGTAGAATGAAAAACACCACACAATCATCTCAATAGATACAGAAACAGCATTTGACAAATTCCTCCTCACCCATGATAAAAACACTCAACAAACTAGGAATAAAAGAGTAGTTCCTCAGCTTAGTAAAGAGCCAAGGAAAACTACACAACCAGCATTACACTTAATGGTAGAAGATGGGATGCTTTCCTCCTAAGATTAGGAACAAGACAGGACTGTCTGTTATCACTACTTGCATTCAGCATTGTACTGGCAGTTCTAGCCAGGACAACTGACCAAGAAAAAGAAATGACAGTTACCTAGATAGGTCAGAGAAGTAAACCTACATTTATAAATAACATGGTTTTATATACAGAAAATCCTGGGGCTGGAATTGTTGTAAAGTGGGTTAAACCACTGCCTGCAACACTGGCATCCCATAGGCGCTCCAGTTCAAGTCTTGTCGGGCTCTGCTTGCAATCCAGTTCCCCGCCAATGCGTCAGGGAAAGCAGCAGAATACGGCCCAAGTGCTGGGCCCCTGTACCCATTTGGGACTTGGAAGCAGTTCCAGGCTCCTGGCTTTGGCTCCAGTTGTTGTTGCCATTTGGGGAGTGAATCAGTGGAAGGAAGATTATCTCTCTTTTTCTCCCTCCGCTTCTTCCCTCCCTCCCTCCTTCTCTAACTGCCTTTCAAAAGAACAAATTTTTTAGAAGATCCTCAAGAATCTACTATAAAGCTATTAGAACTAATACATGAGATCAGCAAGTTTATGGTGTAAAATATATTTCTATGAACTAGCAATGAGCAATCTAAAAATTAAGCAGTTCTATTTTCAATAGCAAGAAGAATAAAATACTTAGAAATAAATTTAACAAAGTAAGTACATTGGAAACTACAAAACACTGTTGAAAAAAGTTAAAAGAGGTAAATGAGGGGCTGGCATTGTGGCTTAGTGGGTTATGCCACTGCCTGAGACATCGGCATCCCATATGGGTGCAAGTTTGAGTCCACCTGTTCTACTCCCTATCCGGCTTTCTGCTAATGTGCCTGGGTAGGCAGAGGAAGATGGTCCAGGTGTTTGGGACCCTGCTACCCATGTGGGAGATTCAGATGAAGCTCCAGGCTTCAGCCTGGCCCACTTCCTATTGTTGTGGCCATTTGGGGAGTGAATCAGAGGATGGAAGATCTCTTTCTCTTTCCCCACTCCCAGCTCTCCCACTCCCACTCTCTAACTTTGCCTTTCAAATAATAAATAAATAAATCTTTTTTAAAAAGTCCTTCTAGAATTAGTGATAAATCTCATTTATATTGTGATCATACTAAATTTACAATTTATATATTTTGCCAACTAAGTTTAAAAAATTCTATTTATTTGAAAGAGTTACAAAGAGAGAGATAGGTACATAGAGAGAGGTCTTCCATCCACTGGTTCACTCCCCAATTGGCCGCAATGGCCAGAGCTGTGCCGATCCAAAGCCAGGAGCCAGAAGTTTCTTCCAGGTCTCTCACGTGGGTGCAGGGGCCCAAGGATTTGAACCAACTTCTGCTGTTTTCCCAGGTGCATTAGAAGGGAGTTGGATCAGAAGTGGGGCAACTGGGACTTGAACTGGTACCCCAATGGGATGCTGGTGCCGCAGGCTGGGGCTTTAACCCACTGTGCTACAGTGCCAGCTCCACTAAGTTTTAATTTATTCATTTGAGAAGCAGAGATATAGACAGAGCCCTCTCTCATCTGCTGGTTCACTTTCCACATGGCTGCAGCCTGGGTGAAGCTGAGTACTAGAAACTCAAAGCAAGTCTCCCACATGGATGGCAGGAACCTGAATACTCAAGCCTTCATTGCCACCTCCCAGGTCCACATTAGCAAGGAGCTGGAGCCAGGTATTGAACCCAGGCACTCTGATATGGCACATGAGCCTTAACTGGCATACTAAACACTAGACCAACTGTTCATCCTTATTTAGACAATTTATATTATTAACATCTTATAGTTTTCTTAACACAGGCCCTGCATATTTTTACCTATAATTATTCCTGGTTATTTTATAGATTTTTTTGTGAGCAACATTTTTTGACATATTTTCTAGCCAGTTACTACTGGAACATAAACAATACTATTGGTTTCTATATGTTAGTTTTGCATCTAATCACTTTGCTGGACTCCCTAGTTCTAATAATTTTTCAGGTTTATTTTCTTCATATTCAAGGTATAGGATGGTATCTAAAACTTTACAATACTGTTAGCCATCTGTTTCCAACATATATACCGTTTAAAACACTTTCGAGGAGCTGGCATTAAGGCACAGTGCTGTGCTGCAATGCCAGCATTCCATATAGCTGCTGGTTTGAGTCCTCACTGCTCCACTTCAGATCTGGCTCCCTGATAATGCACCTGGGAAAGCAGTGAAGGATGACTCAAGTGCTTGGGCACCTGTACCCACGGGGGAGACTCAGATGGAATTCCAGGCTCCTGGCATTGGCCTGGCCCAGCCCTGGCATTGGGGCCATTTGGTGAGTGACCCAATAGATGGAAGCTTTCTCTCTCCCTCTCTCTTCCTCTTCCTCTCTGACTCTGATTTTCAAATAAACAAACTAACTCTTTAAAAAAAAAAAAACTTTGAAAAAATTTATTTGAAAGGTAAAGATGCAGAGAAAGAGAGGTAAAGGGTAAGAGACAGACATCTTCCATCCACTGGTTCACTCCCTAATGCCCACAACAGCCAGGGCTGGCTCAACCTAAAGCCAGGAGCCTGGAACTCAATCTAGATCCTCCCACAAGGGCTACAGGGACCCAACTACTTAGTGCTATCTGTCAGAGTGCACATTAGCAGGAAGCTGGAAGCAGCGTTGGAACTCAAACTCAAGGCATTCTGATATGTGATGTGGGCATCCCAAGCAGCCTCTTAACATTTGGTTGTACCAAATGCCGACCCCACATACATGTTTTATTGTTTTATTTTACTGGATTGGCTAAGACCTCACGCGCAAGTTAGGCAATCATGGTGAGACCTGGTATACTTATCTTGATCCAGATGTCAAGGAAATAAAAAGACATTTGAAATCTATAATGAATATCAAAAACAATGAGATGTGTTAATTTTTTTTTTTAGTTTGGAGACAATTAGGACAACTAGCGTGTTCTACATATCTATGCAGACAAACTGAAGCCCAATGTAAACAGTAAGACAAAACTAGAGACTTTACTAATCAAACCACTAACCTCTAAAGTCTTTCCAGTCCAACCAATGAAAACATTTTAGCCTAGTTCTGCGTTTAGCCTATACAAGTTCATCGCCCACACTGCTGCAGCAGATATCACTTCATTTTGGGTGCTGTCCAATTCATGAATACTTTAATACTCAAACTCTGCTAAATTTATTTTGTCTGAAGTTTGTCTTATAAGGGATGTCATTTATGACTTTTAAATCTTTTCTCACAATTATGAAATTGTTTTTAATTATTTTATGTTTAGATTAATCTGTAGAGGTGTACTTGTGTTTCACTTTCCACAAGATAATAAATATGTTAAATACCATGACTCATCTTTTTATTTCAAAGTCATATTTTGTAACTGAAATTAAGGTGTAAGAGCTAGTTAATTTAATGTGTGGCTTTTTTTTTCACTTGCTTAAAATTCGATTTTAAACATCAGGAAATCATACATCAAAGCACATGCAGTGTTATCTTTTATGTGTGCTCTTTGGTGTCCTGAAAGGAGTGAAGTAGAGGCTGGAGGAAAAATATGTTTGTATTAAGAAATTATTATTTTTTAAAAATTATTTATTTGAAAGGCAGAAAAATGGCAGTGGGGGGTGGCAGGAGAGAGGAAGAGGGAGAGAGAGGAAGTTGTCTTTCATTATTGATTCAGTCCTCAAGTACCTGCAATAGCTGAAGCTGGGCTAGGCCAAAGTCAGGAGTCAGGAAATCCATCTGGGACTCCCACATGGGGGGCAGGGACCCTAGTACTTGATCCAGGCAGGAACCTGGTTTGGAAGTGGAGGCAGGACTCAAGCCTAGGCTTATTGATGGATGGGATGTAGATTTCCAAGGCGGTAGTTTAACCCACTGTGCCATAACATCTGCCCTGGAAATAATTCTTTTTCAGGGTAAAATGCAAAATGAGATTTGACGTTACTATATAAAATTTCATCAAGACTTTTTTTAAAATCAGGATGGATCCTATCTCCCTTACTATGTTTTATAGTGTTGATTTATTTTCCTCCCTACTTTTCAGGAAAACATAGTATATAGAATAAATATGCATCTAAAAGTCTAATCTACCATTCAGAAATTTTAAGAATCATATGACCAGCAGTTAATCCTGCTGTTTAAAAGTACATTTCTAAAACACAAACTATTGGGGGCCGGCGCTGTGGCACAGCAGGTTAACGCCCTGGCCTGAAGTGCCAACATCCTATATGGACGCCAGTTCTAGTCCCGGCTGCTCCTCTTCCGATCCAGCTCTCTGCTATGGCCTGGGATAGCAGTAGAAGATGGCCCAAGTCGTTGGGCCCCTGCACCCATGTAAGAGACCCGGAAGAAGCTCCTGGCTCCTGGCTTCGGATCGGTGCAGCTCTGGCCGTTGTGACTATCTGGGGAGTGATCCAGCAGGTGGAAGACCTTTCTCTCTGTCTCTACCTCTCTCTGTAACTCTTTCAAATAAAAAAATAAATAAATCTTTTTAAAAAAAGCACAAACTATTATATTGCTGGCTGTTTAATTATTAACATCTTTCACTGCTAAATGTTTCAAGTAACAAAATTTTAACACAGATCATTCATTTGGTACTTAAGTCAGAAACTTAAAGAATAACCTAAGAGTTACAGATAAAACAACTGCCTTAGGCTAAACAACTATACTTCGAATAAATAAAATTAAATATGAAATAAATGTGCTTAGATTAATTACAATTAGTTTTCCTTCTATTGTTCTGTGATTTTGTGGTAAGAAATTTTTTCACATATTGGCCACTATTCTACATGACAATACACATATTTATTTACATACATCCAGTCATTTAGCTACAATTAAAAGTTTTTTCTGTTTTTAATAACATTAACATTTTCCTAATTTAACACCTTTTGCTACTGCTAACTTTTGACTCTCATGTACTGAAAGATCACTTGCATAAAAAGAATAAAGCATATTAGCATTTATAATTACCTGGACCAGAAGTGTTATTGGGCCACTTTTATCCACTTCCAGTATTTCACCATTCTTTGTGCCAACTAAAATATGACCATGTCCTAATGATATGGCACGGATAGATGGGTTATCTTCTAGGAGAAGGCCTGAAATGTTAAGTGGAGATGTTCTTCTAGTATGAAATTACTGTAATATAAAGATGTATATATAGCCAGTGATGCCATTTTGACAGTTAATATATTTGAAGATTGTTTTCCCGTTATATTTTAAATATTCTAATAATGTACCACATTTCCCCCATTAAATTTACTAATCTCAAAATAAGGAGCAGCCATGTAGTACAATTCTGATTTCATCCAAATCCAGATTCCCTACTATCACTCTGACAACAGTTTCTTTACCTCTTATATTAGGGCCTCCTCATCTACTTCCCACACCTCTTAAGAGCACTGACTTGGGGGGGCCAGCGCTGTGGCGCAGTGGGTTAATGCCCTGGCCTGAAGCACCAGCATCCCATGTAGGTGCCGGTTCTAGTCCCGGCTGCTCCTCTTCCGATCCCGCTCTCTGCTATGGCCTGGGAAAGCAGAAGATGGCCCAAGTCCTTGAGCCCCTGTTCCCATGTGGGAGACCTGGAAGAAGCTCCTTGCTCCTGGCTTCAGATGGGCGCAGCTCCAGCCATTGTGGCCAACTGGGGAGTGAACCAGCGGATGGAAGACCTCTCTCTCTCTGCCTCTCCTCTCTCTGTGTGTAATTCTGACTTTAAAATAAATAAATAAATAAATAAAATTTTTTTTTTTAAAGAGCACTGACTTGGATTAACTTTAATTCAGCATAAACCATATTCATTTAAGAACAGGTCATCAAAGAAGGAGGTACCTTTCTCTGAAGGGAGGAGAGAACTTCCACTTTGACTACGACCTTGTCTAAATATGATCAGAGTCGGTGAACTCAAAAGGCTTCCACAGCCTTGGCAACTCATGACAAGAGCCTAGGGTGATTACTGATGCCATAAATAAGAGTGTCAATTTATTAAGTCAACAACAGGAGTCACTGTGCGCTTACTCCTCATGTAGGATCTCTGTCCTTAATGTGCTGTACATTGTGATTTAATGCTATAACTAGTACTCAAACAGTATTTTTCACTTTGTGTTTCTACGTGGGTGCAAACTGTTGAAACCTTTACTTAATGTATGCTAAACTGATCTTCTGTATATAAAGAGAATTGAAAATGAATCTTGATGTGAATGGAAGGGGAGAGGGAGCGAGAAAGGGGAAGGTTACAGGTGGGAGGGAAGTCATTGGGGGGGGGGGAGCCATTGTAATCCATAAGCTGTACTTTGGAAATTTATATTCATTAAATAAAAGTGTGTCCTAAGCAGGTTTCAGTGGTTGAGGGACCCAACTCCTGCCCTCACAGAGCATACAGAGAGGAAAACAGATCGTGTGTGAGGAGCTTACCCAAAGTAGGAAAATAAGAATGGGGAGAATCATCCTAGAGGAAACTGTATTTGAGATTTGAAAAATGAGAATGTGGTCACATTGGAGAGAGCAGGAGGGAAGAGTTAGGGCAAATTCTAGGCTGAAGTAGTATCAGGTAGAAAGGACTAGAGGTCAGAAAGAATGAGGTACAGTGCCTTAAAGGAAGAAATTCACTGAAAGGAAAGGGAAAGGGAATAATGGGGCTACAGAGGTAGAGTCATCAAAAGACCAAGGTGAAACAAAATTCCCATTTGGAAAACAAGTTCCTGTCTGTAATAAATGTTATACTCACATGGAAATTTTATTTGGAAAATTGAAAGTTAAAAATTAGTATTAATAATCTTATATTTTGTTAATATTTTATCATGTGTATCACAGAAAACAGATTTTTGAAAGGAGTGCAATGATGCTAGTATCCACTTAAGTGACTTCTTCCATTTAATGATGATATCCATCAAGTAAAGAAGGAAAAATATATTCTATGTGTTCCACCTCATGATCAAGCAAATGAGCAAATAATCCTTTTCCTTCCAAATAAGCTAAATCTCAGATCACCTTTAGATCCTGGAGCCAATGCAGCTCTTTTTATAGCATATGTCTTGAGACATCTTTCAAAGGTATCATCCCAAAGAGCTACCACACCATCTTTTCCTCCAGTTACAAATCCCTATGAAAATAAAAGGTTCATGTTAATAAATATCTTTATATGAAAAATAACTTTCTTGACATTAAGAAACTCTAGAAGAAAGAATATAGCTAAAAGTTACAGCATGTAAATGATAGGGATTAACAGAAGAATCCATTATTTGTTTTTGCATTTCAATAACTATTAAAAGGTGTGGCCGGCGCCACGGCTCACTAGGCTAATCCTCTGCCTTGCGGCGCCGGCACACCAGGTTCTAGTCCCGGTCAGGACGCCAGATTCTGTCCCGGCTGCCCCTCTTCCAGGCCAGCTCTCTGCTGTGGCCCAGGAGTGCAGTGGAGGATGGCCCAAGTGCTTGGGCCCTGCACCCCATGGGAGACCAGGATAAGTACCTGGCTCCTGCCATCGGATCAGAGCGGTGCGCCGGCCGCGGCGGCCATTGGAGGGTGAACCAATGGCAAAGGAAGACCTTTCTCTCTGTCTCTCTCGCTCACTGTCCACTCTGCCTGTCAAAAAAAAAAAAAAAAAAAAAGGTGTAAAACTTAGTACCAAAGATAATGGTATTTGGTTAGGTAATTTTTGCCGACTCAAAGTTAACACTGACGTATTAAAATGACAGAAATAATCAGTCGTTTGGGAAAACTGAAGGTATCTATAAAAGATGGCTAACAGTTAAGGATAACATATGTTGTGATTCTTTGGTTTATTTTTGCATTGTGTATCTGTCCACAATACAATGTTCAAGTTGATTATCGCCACTCTGAATTAACTCAGACTATGCACGGCTCTGTTCACCATCCATGACACCTTCACAATGAAGATCTCCCTACATTCACTGACTGAAGCATGTTTATGAACACTGTCTCAGTGATCTCCTATTTATGAAGGTGTCTACTGACTTAAGATGAAGTAAGGGCATCAGTGAAAGTATACCCTTCTTTCAAGTCTAATTCTAATCTAAATTAGAAGCGATAACAACAACAACAAAGAGCAGCAGCAATGGCAGTTTTATAAAAACAGCACTTATTTGAGCAACTAGTAACACAGAAAATAATTTTCTTCACAGGACTAGTTTGTGGCAGTAGATTCTGTAGAAAAATTTTATCATGTATACAAATATCACCTGCTTTTTGAGAAAAAGATTATGAATCTGCCAAACTTACTAGTTCTATTTTTTTTTCTGTCTACAAAAAGGTCTTCAAATTTAAATGTAATTCTCATAAACTACTAATGCCCCATTCGCAGGATTTTATTTGTATTTTGGGTGACAAGAAACCATTTACAGTGTCTAAAACACTAACCTTTGTTATACCTTAAAAATGTATTTGTGAAATATATTTTGGTGAGAACCTTATCCTTTAAAACATTTAAATTATTGGGGCCAGCATGGTGGCAGCAGGTTAAAGCCCTGGCCTGAAGTGTAGGCATGCCATATGGACACTGGTTCTAGCCCTGGCTGCTCCTTTTCTGATCCAGCTCTCTGCTGTGGCCTGGAGAGCAAAAGATGGCCCAAGTCCTTGGGCCCCTGCACCTGCGTGGGAGACCCAGAAGAGGCTCCTGGCTCCCAGCTTCAGATCGGTGCAGCTCTGGCTGATGCGGCCATCTGGGGAGTGAACCAGCAGGTGGAAGACCTCTCTGTCTCTACCTCTCTCTGTAACTCTTTCAAATAAATAAAATAAATCTTAAAAAAACATTTAAATTATGTATGTTAGCATTTTCAATACTACCTAAATGTATCAATCAAACATAGAAAGCTAAATCAATGTTGAGAAATGAAGATTCTGGGGCTGGCACTGTAGCAAAGTGGTTAAAGCCACCACCTGCACACAGTATTCCATATGGGCACCTGTTCGAGTCCTGGCTATCCCACTTCCAATCCAGATCCCTGTTAAAATGCCTAGGAAAGTGCAAAGGATGGCCCAAGTGCTTCAGCCCCTTCATCCACATGGGAGACCTAGAAGAAGCTCCTGGTTCCTGCCTTCAGCCTGACCCACCCTCAGCTGTTGTGGCCATTTTAGGGAGTGAGCCAGCAGATGGAAGATTTGTCTTTCCTTCTTTCTCTGTAACTGTTTCTAAATAAATAAATAATCTTAAAAAAAGAAATGAAGATTCACAGTTTACTTTCCCAGGGTGTCATTATGCCTTTTTTTTTTTTAAAAAACAACACAGATCTTGCAAAAATATTTACAGTGATAATAAACAATAAACATTCTACTTTTAGAATAGGACTCTGAAAACATAGTTTCTAATTTGGAACAATAAGCTAGATCTACCACTTTCAGCAAATTATATAATAGTATAGTCTCCTAGAGTCTTCATAACCTCATCTTTTAAGAATGGGGGAAATAAGGGCACTGACTACTATATACAAAACACTTAGGATTTCTGACACATAGTGAGGGCTTAATAAATATGAGGTTAAAAATGTTTACACAATAGATCTATTTAACTGTATTCAAAAGTTTGAGAAGAGAAACAAAAAGGACTAGAACACCCCAGACTATTTTCTGGCAGCCCAGCCAAGCAGAAAGGCAATGCTTGGTTACTTCTGAAAATGCTCTACACTCTATGATCAAATTATACCTAACTGAAAATCTCTTTAGATTACTTACTTTTTCTAATGCATGCATACTGAACACTGGCCCATCATGCGCTTTAACTGTTTTTACAAGAAAGATGTCTCTCCAGATACACACATCTCCTGTAGATGTTCCAGAAAAAGCCATCTCTTCAGTCCATCCATACACTGCACACATCATTGTGTCACTTTTCCCCAGAGTGCCTATGTAGCCTTTTCTTCCAATCAATCCTCCCCCTGGTTCACAAAAAGATATTACAAAAGTGCCACTTCCAATATGTGCACAATTACAAAGAAGGTTCTTTTCAACTGTTATTTCATTTTATTAGAAAGAAATGTTAATAATAAGAATTAAAAAGAAAAATACAGGTCTCTCAGTGGTTTGACTCCTAACTCAGAATTCTCAAAGCCTGGATCTGGGACTGGTGGCAAGCAGCTCCATTTAGCTAATTATCTCCTTTAATTCAGTTTACCTGAAACTTTACAAAACTTAGACAAAACTTAGTCTGATTAAGAAAGCGAGTATTTATTTTCCACTTGGTTATAATTAGAACTCCAAGAGTAAAAGGTTAAAATTTACACCAAAAGCTTTAACATCTACCCTTTTATGGTTTGGTTTCAGGTCTATTATATATATAAAACAAAATTTAAGGACATTTAAGTTATTCAATTGCAAATCCTATCATTTTAAAGCTACTTCCTGGCCGGCGCCTCGGCTCACTAGGCTAATCCTCCGCCTTGCGGTGCCAGCACCCCGGGGTTCGCGTCCCGGGTCGGGGTGCCGGATTCTGTCCCAGTTGCCCCTCTTCCAGGCCAGCTCTCTGCTGTGGCCAGGGAGTACAGTGGAGGATGGCCTAAGTAATTGGGCCCTGCACCCCATGGGAGACCAGGAGAAGCACCTGGCTCCTGCCATTGGATCAGCGCGGTGCACCGGCTGCAGCGCGCCGGCCGCGGCGGCCATTGGAGGGTGAACCAATGGCAAAGGAAGACCTTTCTCTCTGTCTCTCTCTTTCTCTCTCTCTCACTGTCCACTCTGCCTGTAAAAACAAAACAAAACAAAACAAAACAAAAACTACTTCCTTTATTTAAATCTTTTATTACAAACACATTCAAAACAGTTTTCCCCTCTAAGATAGAAATACTAAATATTGCTTGCTGAGTATTTACAATTTCAAGTGATCAAGACATCCATGAAAAGTTTAATATGTGAGAATTGACCTACAAATGTGAAATACTTTTTTTTACTCTGTAAATGCATACTGAATTCTATGATCTGATGAGTTTATGAAAAGTATTCAATTCATATCTGAAAATCAGCTTGTGTCCTATGTAGTTTACATAGTAGTACTACACAGTCTACATAGTTTACAACTTGAAAGTTATTTGAACTTGAAAAGTAACTTCAATAAGCCTATTGTTTTCTAATAGAAGTTAAATATCCCGTATCTGAAATGTATGTGACCAGAAATGTTTTAGACTTTGGAATATTTGCATATAGTACATAATGAGATATCTTTGCAATGGGACTCAAGTCTAAACACATGTTTCATGTATATCTGATACACATAGTCTACAGGTAATTTTATACATTGCTTTTTATGAAAAAAATTTTATGGTTGCAGAATTTTCCATACTTGTGATGTCAAATAAGCGCCCAAAAAGTTTTGGATTTTGGAGCATTTCAGGTTTCAGATTTTCAGACTGGCGTGCTCAACCTGTATAATTTGTTTTATTTCTCCCTTTATTATATATCTTCTATGAAAGGTTTAAATTTATTGATACTTTGATAACACACTGATAGAACAGTATACTTATAAATAAATTCTATTTGGAAAAGAGACAACAGTTTTTACTTAAAAGTATGAACTTCCACATTTGTAATTTACCAGTTGCAAATGACAAAGGTAACATAACATTTCATTTTTACATCATTTTATAGCATATGAGTAATTTCTATAAAGCATTTCATTTTCATTTTCAACTACAAAACATACTTTCAACCGAATGAAGGAGTCTGGATAGCACTTGATGAATGTCATGTTAACTCTTTTGCAAATATGAACGCTACTTAAGTGCATCTGATAAATGATGGTAAAACCTTATATTTGTTTTAAATGCACCAAGACAACAATGAATCACTCTAAAAATTAACTTATTTTGGATGATTTTAAATTTCCAGAAAAGATGTAGATATAATACAGAGTATATCTGAATACCTATCATCTAGTTTCCATTTATGTTAACAGCTTACATTACCATAGACATTTGTCAAAACTAAGAAACCAACATGTTTGGTACATTTCTCCCATCCAAGTACTAACCAGGCCCGACCCTGCTTAGCTTCCAAGATCAGACGAGATCGGGCGCGTTCAGGGTGGTATGGCCGTAGACTGTTTGGTACATTTCTATTAACTGGGCTCTACACCTTATTCATATTTCACCAATTTTTCTACAAATTTTCCTTTTCTATTTTAACATGTAGTCCAGGACACCTTATTACACTTAGCTAAATTAATTGTAAAGGTAACAATTTCTTAAAAGTTAAAGGAGGAAAAAGGAACACTTCCTTACCTGCTCTACGCCAGAATTTCATGTGTTTAATTCCAGCTGTAATTAGTTTATCAGGCACATATGGGTTCATCTTTACAACAAAAATCTTATCTTTACTTCCTCTGAAATAAACAGCAAACGTTTTAGCCTTAAAAATACAGCCTTTCCACAATAACCTTTGCCTATCTTGATTACTACACTTAATGAATACTTTCTTCCCACTTGTGTCTCAGGCTTGAGCTGTGTAATCTGCATTTGTTCGTTGTCATTATTTTATTACGCTGTTAACTCTGCCTAACTAGAATCCTCAAAAATAGGAACAGTGAACACTGAACTTCCTTGGAGACCATCTATAACATCTATTATACCACTGCGCATAGGGAATGCTATTTGTCCCACGAATGAGTTAAGGAAATATTTTATAGTACTTTATTATAGCTTAATATACCTTTCTAACTATAAAGTTCTCCTTCTCTCTTGTTTTTTTGTATCTTTTTCATTTTTTGACAGGCAGAGTGGACAGTGAGAGAGAGAGACAGAGAGAAAGGTCTTCCTTTGCCGTTGGTTCACCCTCCAATGGCCGCCGCGGCCGGCGCGCTGCGGCCGGCGCACCGCGCTGATCCGATGGCAGGAGCCAGGAGCCAGGTGCTTTTCCTGGTCTCCCATGGGGTGCAGGGCCCAAGCACCTGGGCCATCCTCCACTGCACTCCCTGGCCACAGCAGAGGGCTGGCCTGGAAGAGGGGCAACCGGGACAGAATCCGGCGCCCCGACCGGGACTAGAACCCGGTGTGCCGGCGCCGCTAGGCGGAGGATTAGCCTACTGAGCCGCGGCGCCGGCTATAAAGTTCTCTTAAACTATCTTTTATTTGGGCAGTATCTACATATAGAGCATCTATATTTTAAAAGTATTTAAAACTTAATTCTAAGAAACAAGAAGCTAAAGAAATAATTTCTGACAGTGTTGACTATTCCCTCCTTTAATTAATATTGGGATTAGCGCTGTGGCGCAGTGAGTTAAAGCCCCAGCCTGCAGTGCCGGCATCCCATAAGGGCACCAGTTCAAATCTCGGCTGCTCCACTCCTGATCCAGCTCCCTGCTAATGTGCCTGGGAAAGCAGTAGAGGATGGTCCAAGTCCTTGGGCCTGCACCCACGTGGGAAACCTGAAAAAAATTCCTGGCTCCTGGCTTCAGATTGGTTCAGTTCCAGCCTTACGGTCATTTTGGGAGTGAACCAGCAGATGGAATACCTCACTCTCCGTCTCTACCTCTCTCTGTAACCCTGTCTTTTAAATAAATAAAATAAATCTTAAAAAAAGTATTAGTATTTTTATTACAAAAAAGGTTCACTGTAAAAAATTTAGAAAATGGAGAAAAATGTAAGAGAAAATAAAAATAATTTATCTGTGATCTGTGTCTGTATCTTTTTTCATTTAAATTTACAATGAGAGCATTTTATTATGCTCACCAATGGCTATGTAACAACCTATAATACACAGAATTCACATGAACTAAAGATTTTATGTAACAGTTATTTCCAATGCCATATTATACGTACATTAAAAAGCAGTTTCACAAAAGACAAATATACTGAAATCATTTGTCTTTTATCATGCTTGCATTATTTAGTCAATAGTTTAAATTAAAGATGGTAACAACAAAAAATGTTACATATTTGCTTGATTTTAGAATTGTTTTAATTAAAAAATTCCTTTAAGTCCAAATTAACTAATACTACCAAGTTTTCCCCACCTTGTTAATGAAAGTTTCTCTCCTTTCTTCCAATCCCATAGCACGATAGTGTGGCTGTCATCTATCCCAGCTGAAGCCAAACGTTTCCCATCCGCTGTGAAAATTAAGCAGATATACTGACCATTAGCATTCATAAGACTGAAAACATTCAGTATATTAGTATATTCCAGAACCAAAGTCCCATATTTAATACTTGATGAAATAATAATAAATATTAGCCATAAACAAAGCTATAAAAGAACCAGTACTTATAAGGGGGAGGGAATAATTGCTGCCATATCATCTAAACTTATCTGCTATCCTCTCACCTGACTGTATCCACTAGGCTGGGATGGGGAAGGGAGCGAGAAGGTAATAAATGTGCCAAATATGTTAATTCCTCAGATCTGATTATGATGCAATATATGCATGTGTTGAAACATCACTGTTATCCATAAATACACACAATTATTATGTATTAAAAGCAAAAAAAATCTATGGAAAAAATGGGATGTAAAGGAAAAAGAAAGGAAGAAAAGATTTATTTCAATTAAATTTACCTTAAGAACTCTATTATGATGTAAGAATTCTGTGATTATGAAAAGCTGATCAAATGACAACCACATAGGTTAGAGAAACACATTGCCATTGATAATGACTCCTTTTAGTGAAGGTTATTTTTGTTGTAACTATTGCTAAGCAACAAGTAATGACTATATTAGACAAACCACTGAGACAAATGACTGATGAGACATGCTGACAAGTACACATGCATCTGTAGGCTGTGAAGGCTTTTCCACTCTGTCCTACGCTTTTTGTAAACCTCAGCAGCTCCTTGCTGCTACTGTGATGCTTTTTTATTGGTCCATTTAGTTTTCCATTCATTTTCATGTTCATGACTGGTAGCATTTTTTTTTTTTTTTTTTTTTTTTTTTTGGACAGGCAGAGTGGACAGTGAGAGAGAGAGACAGAGAGAAAGGTCTTCCTTTGCCGTTGGTTCACCCTCCAATGGCCGCCGCGGCCGGCGCGCTGCGGCCGGCGCACCGCGCTGATCCGATGGCAGGAGCCAGGAGCCAGGTGCTTTTCCTGGTCTCCCATGGGGTGCAGGGCCCAAGCACCTGGGCCATCCTCCACTGCACTCCCTGGCCACAGCAGAGGGCTGGCCTGGAAGAGGGGCAACCGGGACAGAATCCGGCGCCCCGACCGGGACTAGAACCCGGTGTGCCGGCGCCGCTAGGCGGAGGATTAGCCTAGTGAGCCGCGGCGCCGGCCACATGACTGGTAGCATTTAACAACTTACCACTTCAGCCAGAGTTACAAAAAGCACGAATTCAGAGTTTCTTAATTTCAAATTCTTTATTAATGGCACTTCCTCCCTCTTCCCAACCCACACTCTAGCTTTCTCTGCATATGTATAGTTATTAAAATTTTTTTTTGAGAGGTAGAGTTATAGACAGTGAGAGACAGACAGAGAGAAAGGTCTTCCTTCTGTTGGTTCACTCCCCTAATGGCCGCTACGGCCGGCGCTGCGCTGATCCAAAGCCAGGTGCCGGGTGCTTCCTCCTGGTCTCCCATGCGGGAGCAGGGACCCAAGCACTTGGGCCATCCTTCACTGCCCTCCTGGGCCACAGCAGAGAGCTGGACCAGAAGAGGAGCAACTGGGACTAGTACCTGGCGCCCCAACCGGGACTAGAACCTGCGGTGCCAGCACCGCAGGCAGAGGATTAGCCAAGTGAGCCGCGGCACCGGCCTAGTTATTAAAATTTTAAATTCACAGCAGGGGCTGGTGCTGTGGTGTAGTGGGCTGAACTGCTGCCTACGGTGCCGACACCCCATATGCGCAACGGTTTGAGACCTGGCTGCTTCACTTCCAATCCAGCTCTCTGCTGTGGCCTGGGAAAGCAGTAGAAGATGGTCCAAGTCCTTGGGCCCGTGCACCTGCGTGGGAGACCCAGAGAAAGCTCCTGGCTCCTGGCTTCAGATTGGCGCAGCTCTGGCAGTTGTGGCCAACTGGGGAGTGAATCAGTGGGTGGAAGATCTCTCTCTCTCCCTCTCTCTGCCTCTCATTCTCTATTTATTTATTTATTAATTTATTAAATAAATAAATCTTTAAAAAATTTCACAGCAAAACAACATGAAATTAGTTTTACAAGACAACTTGAAATTGTCAGTCTACAGAAATGTCTTAAAATTCAGTTATCACCTTTCTTCTTTCTTAACCTTTCACCCTAAATATTTCAAAGCTTACCCTGTAACTTTAAACATTAAAAAACATTAAATAAAAGCAGGGCTTATCTAAAGATGAGAAATACACATTACAAATGGTAATTTAGATAATTCTAGGAGTTCTACAGACATTTTTCAATGTGATAGAAACATGCTAATTTTAATGGCTATTAAAATTATACCACCTCACTCCAGTAAGATTTGCTATTAGCAAAAAAGATAAAAATAACAAGTGTTGGTAAGAAAGTGGAGAAAAGGGAACCCTCACATACTGTTGATGGGAATGTAAATTAGTACAGCCATTGTGGAAAATAATATGGAGGTTCCTCAAAGATCTAGAAATAGAACTTCCATATGATTCAACAATTCCATTTCTAGGTATATATCCAAAGGAAATGAAACTCATTGGTCAAAGAAAGATCTGCATCCCTGTTTACTGTAGCACATTCATAATAGCCAGGATAAGGAGATAACCTAAGTGCCTGTCAAGTGATGAATGAATAAAGAAAATGTGGTGCACATACACAATATACACATTATATATTGCACATACGCAATATACGCATATACACTATTACTTAATCATAAAAAGGATGAAACCTTGTCACTTCCAACAATATGGATGGACTAAAGGTCATTATGCTAAGTGAAATAAGTAAAGAAAGACAAATACCACATGATCTCTTACTTGTACATGGATTCTAAAAAAAGTAAATAGTATCTCACAGAAGTAAAGAAAAGAATTAAAAATTGTAGTACCAGACATTGGGGAAGGAAGTAGGTGAAGAGGGATTAGGAAAGATTAATGAGTACTAGGTTATAGCTAGACAAGAGTAATTCTTTCTGTGATTCTATTGCATAGTAGGGTGAAGATAATGTTAATTTACTGTACATTTCTCTATTTAAAAATCTAGACAGCCATTTTGGATGCTTTCACTATAAAGAAATGGTAAATGATTGAAAAGACAAATATATTTATCCTGATTGAACATTTAATTACACACACATGGGCAACTTAAATTTAAATAAAAATAAAAAATTATATTCATTATAAACTAGCTAGAAAATTCATAACTTCATATCTTGTTTGATTAGGACAACAGCATGCACATTTGATAGCAATTACAAAGGTCATATCTAAATGACTAGTTTAGGTAACAGACTTAGATTAAAATACCATGCATTGCCTCTGCATGTTGGTTATTCTTACTGAGATAGAAAACAGTCTTACCTGAGAAGTCAACAGCACAGACACCATATTGGTGGTAGCCCTTCAATATTGACAATGGCTTAATGGTTTCTGTATCCCATATGTGAATCGAAGGATCCCTACCCACCTGAAATAAAAACAATTATTTATTTTTTTACTTCTGTTAAAAGGAAATAAGACAGGAAATTTTACAGCCTTTATTTACTAAAAAAGCTTATCAAATAAAATGTAATTTTTTTCATTTCATTTTGTAATGAATTTGGGAACTCTTCCATCTGCTGATTCACCCCTCAAATGCCCAAAACAACTGGGACTGGGCCAGGCTGAAGCCAGGATCCCAAAACTCAGTCTGAGCGGTCCTTGTGGGTGGCAGGGACCCATGCACTTGAGCCATCATTCCATGTGTGCCAGGACGCACACCAGCAGGAAGCTGGAATTGGAAGCAGAGCCTCAATGTGGGATGCAGGCATCCCAAGGAGCATCTTAACTACTGTGACAAATGCCAGATCCTCAAACAGAATTTTTTTGATGTGTTGTGCTTCCATTTTTATTTCAAAAAATGAAAGGCACCAGAAAAAGACACATACCATCTAAAAGTTACATAGTGGAAGATAGTCCATGCAAACAGAAAACAAAAATGAGCAGCAGCAGCTAAACTTACATCAAATAAGTTAGACTTTAGGACAAATGAGAAAAGGAAGAACAGTATATAATGATCAAGTAATCAATTCAAAAGAAAAGATAATAATTGTAAATGTACTCAAATAGAATTTTATAAAACAGGCTGTAAATGTGATTAATTTTTTGATTAATATTTAATATTAGTTCAAAAGGTAATGAAGTTAAGCTCAGTGTTTATAGGAATGTTCTACAATTATGTGACTCCTAAATAGTATATACTTCATCCTTAAACATAATAAATGTATACTAAGTACCTATTATTTGTAGGGTTTCTATACTAGATACAATGAGTACTAAGACATTCATGGAGTAAATTCTGTAGTGTTGTTTAGAAAACAGGACGTTTTCAATTAAATAAGCTGGTGTTACATGCTTAATGAGAATGAAAACATTATAGAGAAAGGCTTTATGGAAGAGATGGTACTAGAGATAGACCTTCAGAAAATGCCATAGCACCGGCCCCACTTGTTCAACTCTTCGACTAGATTATTAGCCCTTCATAGTAGCAGCCAGTCTGAGTTATCTTTGTTTCCCCACAATACCTGATGCTTTTGAACGAAAAGTACTTACAGATATTTGCTGTGTTAAACAAAATTTCCAAAATATGATATAATTAGCCAAGTTATTCAAGTTGAAATATATAAATTAACTGGCAGGTAAGGTTTCTTAAGGTTCTTTTACCTCCACTTAAGATCACACTCCTTGGGGCCAGCATTATGGTGCGGTATGTTAACCTGCTACTGACAATGCTGCCACCCCTCCTGGAGCACCAGTTTGAATCCAGCTGCTCTGTTTCCCATACTTCTCTGCTAATTCGCCTGGGAAAGTAGCAGAGGATGGCCCAAGTGCTTAGGTCCCTGCCATCCATGTGGGAGACTAGATGGAGTTTCTGGTCTCAGTCTGGCCTAGCCCCAGCCATTATAGCTATCTGGGGAGTGAACCAGAGGATAGAAGATTTATTTTATATTTTATTCTTATTTTATATTTTATTTTTATATTATTTTTATTTTATTTATTATTTTAATATTTATTTTATTTATTCAAAAGTCAGAGTTATACAGAGAGGAGAGGCAGAGAGAGACAGACAGACAGACAGACAGACGGAGACAGAGATCTTCCATCTGATGGTTCACTCCCCAACTGGCTGCAATGGCCAGAGCTGTGCCAATCCGAAGCCAGGAGCCAGGAGCTTCCTCGGGGTCTCCCACGCGGGTGTAGGCGCCCAAGGACTTGGGCCATCTTCTACTGCTTTCCCAGGCCATAGCAGAGAGCTGGATCAGAAGTGGAGCAGCCAGGTCTGGAACTGGCGCCCATATGGGATGCCGGTGCTTCAGGCCAGGGAGTTAACCCACAGCGCTGGCCCCAGAAGAAGATGTTTTTTAAAAGATTTATTTATTTATTTGAAAGTCTGAGTTACACAGAGAGAAGGAGAGGCACAGAGAGGCACAGAGAGGTGGAGGGAGAGGGAGTGGGAGAGGGAGAGGGGAGGAGAGGGAGAGGGGAGAGGGGAGAGGGGAGAGGGGAGAGGGGAGAGGGGAGAGGGGTCTTCATCCGTTGATTCACTCCTCTATTGGCCACAGCAGTGGCCCCCAGTGGGTGGAAGACATCTCTCTCCCTCTCTCCCTCCCTCCCTCCCTCTCTTCTGTCACTCTACCTTTTAAATACATAAAGTAAATCTTAGGAAAAAAAATCACAGTTCTCATCAAGGGGTCATTCTATGTGCACTATTCTCCAAATGACAACACTAGAAAAAAATGCTTCAGAAGTACTTCATTAAAATATTTTTATAGGGGCTGGGGCTGTGGGGCAGCAGGATAACGCCCTGGATGAAGCACCGGCATCCCATATGGGCGCCAGTTCTAGTCCTGGCTGTTCCTCTTCTGATCCAGCTCTTTGCTATGGTCTGGGAAAGCAGTAGAAGATGGCCCAAGTCCTTGGACCCCTGCACCCAAGTGGGAGACCTGGGAGAAGCTCCTGGCTCCTGGCTCCTGGCTTCAGATCGGCGCAGCTCTGGCCATTGTAGCCATCTGGGGGAGTGAACCAGCGGATGGAAGATCTTTCTCTCCGTCTCTACCTCTCTCTAACTCTGTCTTTCAAATAAATAAAAAAATAAATCTTTAAAAAATATTTTTATAAAAAGTTTAACAAATTTATTTTGAAATCTATAACTATAAAAAAGGAGGAGTTGGTTGGCTGTAATACAACACAGGAAGGAAATGGAAAACACTGGGAAAAGAGGGGGAGACAGAATGAGCCTCCACTGTAGAAGACTTGAATATGCAATGCCTAAAACAGATATGTTGTGGTGTAAACAAGCCAGGGCCAAAGGAGCTATGGCTTGATAAGTACCCAGGGATGTCCTGGGCCCTACTGACTTTTTATTTAATATTATCTGAATTTCCTAAAATCATGGTAGTACATGGTCACTTTTTACAGTTTTCATTCTGATAGTACCGGAATAAAATTCAAACTCCTTGCCTTCACACATGGGCACAAAACTACGCTGCAAGAGGAATCATTTACACAAACTGAAAGTAAATGATGCACTTGATGGGGTCGGCGCTGTGGCATAGTGGGTAAAGCTGCCGCCTACAGTGCCAGCATCCTGGTTCAAGTCCTGACTGCTCCACTTCCAATCCAGCTCTCTGCTCTGGCCTGGGAAAGTAGTAGAAGATGGGCCAAGTGCTTGTGCCCCTGCACCCGCATGGGAGACCTGAAGGAGGCTCTTGGCTCCTGGTCTCGGATGGGTGCAGCTCTAGCCGTAGTGGCCAATTTGGGAGTGAACAAGCTGATGGAAGATCTCTCTCTCTCTCTCTCTCTCTGCCTCTTCTTCTCTCTGTGTAACTCTGACTCAAATAAATAAATCTTTAAAAGAAAATGATGCCCTTGAAGTTATCATGAGCTCTGATTTGAATACTGTGGGATACTCACAGTTTTTAAAATAAACTGTGCTTTCTTTGCCCCACTTTCACACATGTTATAATACATTTTGGGGGCCAGCACTATAGTGCAGTGGGTTAACACCCTGGCCTGAAGCACTGGGATCCCATACGGGCAGTGGTTCGAGACCCAGCTGCTCCACTTCTGATCCAGCTCTCTGCTGTGGTCTGGGAAAGCAGAAGAAGATGGCCCAAGTCCTTGGGCCCCTACACCCGCGTGGGAGGCCCAGAAAAGCTCCTGGCTTCAGATCGGCACAGCTCCAGCTGTTGCGGCCAATTGGGGAGTGAACCATTAGATGGAAGACCTCTCTCTCTGCCTCTCCTCTCTCTGTGTAACACTTTCAAATAAATAAATACATCTTTAAAAAAAATACATTTTGAATGTTTCCTCCAATTTCCCCTCTGCCAGATTAACTGTTCAGCTCAAATGTTATCATCTCTGTGAGAGTTTTCTCTAATGAGGCATAATCTATCCATCATTACATTGCTACCAGACCTTATACAAAGCTCCACATTGAGGAGCAGGGTGACTTTGCCTCCTAGAGATCATATGACACTGCCTAGAGATATTTTTGGTTGTTACAACTAAGGAAGTCAGGTGTTACTGGCACCTGGTGGGTACAAGCCAGGTATGCTGCTGAATATCCTACAACATATAGGTCAGCTTCCCCCAACAATTATCTGACCCCAAACAACAACAGTGCCAAGGCTGAAAAGCTCTGATATGTACTCATGAGACTGTATCACAGTTTCAAGAATGTAAATTTCTGGAGCTGGTGTTGTGGTGTGGTGGTTTAAGCCACCTCCTGCAATGGTGGCATCCCACATGGGTGTCAGTTCATGTCTCAGCTGCTCTGCTTCAAGCTAGCACCTGACACCCATGTGGGAGACACAAATGAAGTTCCTGGCTCCTGGCTTTGGCTTGGTCCAGTTCTGACCATTGCAACATTTGGGGGGTGACCCAGTGGATGGAAGATCTCTCTCCCTCTCTCTCTCTACTCCCCCTCCCCTCTAATCTGTTTTTTTTTTTTTTTTTTTTTTTGGTAACAGCCAGAGTAGACAGAGACAGAGACAGAGACAAAGACAAAGGTCTTCCTTTTCCATTGGTTCACCCTCCAATGGCCGCCGTGGCCAGTGCACCACGCTGATCTGAGGCCAGGAGCCAGGTGCTTCTCCTGGTCTCCCATGGGGTGCAGGGCCCAAGTACTTGGGCCATCCTCCACTGCACTCCCGGGCCACAGCAGAGAGCTGGACTGGAAGAGGGGCAACTGGGACAGAATCCGGTGCCCCGACCGGGACTAGAACCCTGTGTGCCGGCGCCACAGGCGGAGGATTAGCCTACTGAGCCGTGGCGCCGGCCTAATCTGACTTTTAAATCAATCAATCTTTAAAAAATATGAATCTTTACCATGGCAATAAGATGTCTTATTTACTTTTACATTTGCAGCACATATCTCAGTACACATATGATGAATATTTTAGAATGAATGGGAAAAAGGAGGGAGGAAAGGGTAGGGAAGGAGAAAGGGAGAAAGAAGGAGCAAGGTAAAGCACAAAGGATGGTAAGAAGGAAGGAAAAGAGTATTTGCTCCTTTCAAGGAAGCTCCATACATCCTAGAAGACGCATTTGCATAATATTTAAAGCAGACAACAGGCTTGAGGCTATACTATTAGCCAAGTGATCTAGAACACATTATTTAATTTCACTAAATAAACCTAAACTTCATTTGTAAAATGGGGGAAATAATTTTACTCTCATACGGTTGAGGTGAGAATAAAATGAATATACAATAAGATATTAGTAAAGTGCTTACATATAGTAAAAATCTTCCTTTTCTAGTAATATCCCTACATTATTGTTATCAGTTAAGAATTTTCTCAGTGCTTTCTATTTCAATACTTCTGCTTTCTATTTCAGAAAGTTTGAACAGGTTGCTGCCATGGTAGGAAAATTAAGAAAAAATCACTCTGTCACAGACATTTGTTGAAAGTATCTAAAGAAGCCAGATTTCTAGTCTTTGTTTCCTATAATTTTACTCACAAATTCAAAAAATTAATGTCCTGATTAAAAACAAGCCTGAATTTTAGTTCCAAAGTCTGATTAAAATAATAAAAATTGAAAATAATAAATTTATAAGGAATAAAGTTGGGGTAAATTTCATTTATGAGAATATAATCTATTCTAAAAAATTAGTTATTCTTCACTTCCCAGAACACTTTTCATATATAGGCATATAGAAACACACAAACATGCCTGCGTGAGCGAGGGTATTTCAAAAAGTTCATAGAAAATGGAAATTAAAACATGCTTATTTTGGTGAAAAATACTTTTAAATTCATGCTTTTTAAATAATACATATTTCCCATGAACATTCTGAAGACCCTTATATACAAAAGTAGAAAAATCCAACTTTACAATCAAAAAAGGTTCTAACCTATCTGGCTCATTGTCACACAGTCTTTTAAAGAAACGTACCTGGCCTGTTGCCACATAGTCTTTCAGAGGATGAATAGCCAGGCAGAGAATATCATCGTCATGACCTAGGTAAAAACGCTGTGTATTCTGTTGTCGATTATAAATGACACCCACTGCTGCCACATGGTACACAATTTCACCAATTTGAGTATAAAACAGATTACTTCGACAGTCATAACCTCTGTAACTAACACAGAAAACAAATCATGTATAATTAATTACATCTGATCAATACAGTATATATAGAGAAGCAGGTACCTTTTAGGTGTGTCATTCAATTTCACTTTCACAGGATAATTAACAATAGAAAGAAAATACTACAATTTCAGATCTCACAAACTTTTATTACAAATAAGTCAATCCAAACTATAATACTGAGTAAAACAAATAAGACGCAGAAAAATATAACAGTACACTACTATTTATACTATGTATAATATTAGCTTATATAGTATAAAACAAAAATGTGCTTTTTACAAATAAAAGAGAAGAAATCAAATTTGTATTTTTTATATGCATACATGTTTCTGAAACTCAGTAACAGTGACTACTTGTGGAAAGGGAAATAGTGACTGGGAGGGGAGAAGCAGGAGTTTTATTTTCAAACTACAGTTTTATACACATTTGAATCATCAGAATATATATCCTCAAAATAAGTTTAAGCAATTTTTGGGGGGCTGTAAAAGCCCTTTTATAAAGTAAGCAAAAATTTTAAATATTATAATCATCCAGGAAAAAGTAGCCAAATCTGTTAAAAATTTTTAAAGTTAATTTTATTCAACAAGTAGAGGTGGGCAGGTCTCCTATCCATTGGTTCACTATCCAAAAGCCTGCAACAGCTGGGGTTGGACCAGGTTGAAACCAAGAGCCAAGAGCTTAAATGGAAGCAGAAGCAGAACTGGGACTTGAACCTAAGCACTCCAACATGAGATGTGGGCATCTGAAATGGCATTCAAGCATTGGTGACAAATTCTCACTCTCCAAATATTATTCAAACAGTCAATATAATTTCACTTAGAGAAACTTTGCTTATACTTCAAATATATTTGATGATAGCATTGTGGCACTGCGGGTTAAGCTGCCACTTGTGATGTTGGAACCTCATATTAGTGCATCAGTCCTGGTTGCTCCACTTCCAATCCAGCTCCTAGCTATAATACACCTGGGAAGGCAGCCGAAGATAGCTCAAGCTATGCACATGGGAGGCCTGTTGGAGTTCCAGGCTCCCGGCTTTGGCCTGGCCCAGCCTGACTACTGCGGTCATTTGGGGAGTGAATCAGCAGATAGAAGTTCTCTCTTTTTCTTTCCTGTCACTTTGCCTTTCAAATAAATAAATAAATCTTAAAAACACACACACAATCATAAAACACAACTACATAGAAACACTGCCTATTTTAACACTGAATAAAAATACTTTTACTAAATAATTATTTTTCCAAGTTTTTAAAAGTATCATCAGGGCCAGTGCTGTGGTGTAGTGGGTAAAGCCACCACCTGTAGTGCCTGCGTCCCATATGAGTTGTGGTTCCAGTCCTGGCTGCTCCACTTCCAATCTAGCTCCCTACTAATGTGCCTGGGAAGATGGTTCAAGTCCTTGGGCCCCTGCAACCACATGAGAGACCTGGAAGAAGCTCCTGGCTCCTGGATTTGGGTTGGCTCAGCTCTGGCTGTTGCAGCCATTTGGGGAGTGAACCAGCAGATGGAGGCTCTTGCTCGCTTTCTCTGCTTCTGCCTCTCTGTAACTCTGCCTTTCAAATAAATAAAATAAATCTTTTTAAAAAGTAAAATAGAAAGTATTCTCAATCAAGTAAGAAAATGAGTGCTGAGTAAGGAGTAGGAAAGACCAAGATTGGACAATCTGCTGCTGCCAGCCTAAATTGGGAGACCTATATTGCCAGATGTTCTAAGAGAATCCAGAAACTATATTTCAAAGAAATTAAAATATGAAAGCCAAAATGCTCAGGTGAAAAGAAGTCACGATATCATTCCAAATTAGATAAATGTAGTAGAGAGGATTATTTCTTAATTTTATCTATTCTCATCTGTTAAAATAGAAGAGGTTCATGTCTAAATATTACACTATACTTTAATAAGACAAATTTTAAATTTTATTTAATAAACACTTCTAGAGTGCTCATTAAATGCCAGGCAAGTGTGAAAGTCACCATCAGCACTGCCTTATTTCCTCCTCCTCACAGCCTTATGCATAGGAGCTATTTTCTCCATTTTACAGATGGGAAAAGAGAGGCACAGAGAAGTTGAGTGAACGCCCAGTCACCCAGCTAGTAAGTGTGGACCACAATTCAAGCATGTAAGAGAAGAACAGCTGTTTTATACCCATGAACAAAGTGTAAGCGGATACTGTTTCCTGGAGCCCGCTCTCTTCTTTTAGAAGTAGCACTCTTTTGCTTCTCTTTGCATTGCTCTTTAAGCTGAGGTAGATCTTCTTTGTAAACCTTTAAGAAAACGTATATAAGTAGGAGCATTCTTAGAATAAATATCAATAAAGACATTCATATATTCCTAATGCAATTTTCAGACATTGTGGTTACTGTTCAGCAGCTTTAACAACTTTCTCAAGGATAAATATTCATGAAATTTACTTCTTAGAAAAGAACAAACTAATGCACATTTTCTAGGTATCACATTGACAAATACATATTTACTATTCCAAGAAATTTTTATACTTCATAAGAGAATACTTCAAAGAGAATAAATTAAGAGTATACTCTGACAAAAATCTATAAGAAACAGAACACAGACATACTCAGTAATATCAAGTGTTTAATATAACATTTTACAGACGTGTATGTTAAATTCTGAAGTGGGAAACTGAAATAGTTAGATATTGCTTGGGAAACTAAAATGACAAAAGGTAACAATAAATGAGCAATGGGAACAAGATAAAGAACAAATGACTTTTCAGGGAAAGTTGTGTGATAATAGAAATTACCTGCCGTCGGTAGGTGAGCTGTGTCTCTTGTTCAATTTCAGAATCCAGTTCTGGAACATCAGACAGATCTGAATCTGACTCATCACTGTTAGAATCAGCCAGACTTTCTGGAATTTTTAAGAATCAAATGTTACTTGTTTAAAGAAGACTCATTTTCAAAACAGCACTGTAAAGTTAATGATGAAGAGTTGACGTTGTCAGTTGAAATGAGACAAGCCATAAAACAATCAAATGAAATTACCTATTCAAGTGACACAGATGTCAGTAAACTGCACTACAGATTATCTTCCTCTCCACTCACTGCAAAATCAATAGTTCCTTTAAATCCCTTCACTGGCTCCCCAATGACCGCTACATCAAATTTAAATGTCTGTGCAAATATAAGTGGATATAACCTATAGTTAACATGAAAAATAGCTAAAAAATTCTATATGTAACAGGTGATTTTACATTACACATTTTTCTTTATCAAAAGAAAGCATAAACAAAACTTAGGCACCCATCTTGCAGAGGATACATTAAGTGTTTTTTTTAATTTTATTTTTGCTAACATAGCTGTTTCTCCATTTATGTTTTGACAGATTAAAATGCAACCAAATTACTTTATGTAGTCCGTGTTCTGTGATATCTGACTTTAAACATATAGACTTAATACTTTAAGTAGAAGTTTCTGCTGGTAACAAACTACACTGTTAACTTATAAGACTAGATTATACTTCAATAGTAAATCTGTTACATTGAGGTCATTGAAAAGTTATTTGGAAGGGAAAGTGTTCAGGCAATGTGTAGTACTCACCTTGGGGTGCAATGTGAAGAGCATCTTTCAGTTTTCTTTCTGGAATAAACTTCCACTGAAAGACAGAGTGATCTGCTCCACCAATAGAAATAACCCACTGATAATCATGTGACCATCTGACATTAGTTACGTGAGCGGAATGGCCAAAATATTTTCTAAACTTGGCCCCTATAACAAAAATACATCTTAAAATTGATAAACAAATGTTAACACACTTAAATATCACTTCAAACAAGAATTTCTATACATGGTAAGCATCCTTCTTTTATATTAACTATGATCAAGTTGGAAAAATGTGGGTTCAAAAAATGGTTGACTCAACTAAAAAGAGTTGATATCAAGGGATTTAAAATAATCTGTTCCTGGTATATGGTATACACCTTCTTACATACTGGAATGAAAATATGGAAAACAAACTTTTATTTTGGCCATGAATTTAGAGATAGCCATGTTAAAGTATAAAACAGTGATCAAAACACATTTAACGGGTTGAGCATTTGGCCTAGCAATTAAAGCACCCATATTCCAAATTGTAGTGCTTGGGTCCATGTCTCGGCTCGGATTCCAATTTCAGCTTCCTGTTAATGCAGACCACAGGAGGCAGCAGTGATGGCTCAAGAATTATATTTCTGCTACCTGAAGGAGATACCTGGACTGGGTTTCCAGCTCCTGTCCCAGCCACTGTGGGCATTTGGGGAATGAAGCATCAGATGGAAGTGTTGTCTGCCAAATAAATTTTTAAAATTCATCTAAAATGGTAATTTATTGCTGCTTAATAGTAATACTATTATTATAGGAATCAATTCTATATGTAGCTTATTAGAAGTCAGTAATTTCCAGACAGATTTTTACTGGGCTGGACTGTGGGAAGTTACCTATCAGGTAAAATTTAGTCTCTCCTATATGGGAATGCATTATTTCCCTGGCAAGAAGGCTCTGGTTATTACTTCCTTCAGCTGTGCTCTCAAGTACTCCTTGCTGTCAGAGAATCTTTCTTTAAACAAATTAAGTTATGGGGCCAGTGCTGTGGCATAGCAGGTAAAGGCACTGCCTGCAGTGTTGGCATCCCAAATGGGCACCAGTTCGGGTCCTGGCTGTTCCACTTCTGATCCAGCTCTCTGCTATGGCCTGGGAAAGCAGCAGAAGATGGCCCAAGTCCTTGGGCCCCTGCACCTGTGTGGGAGACCTGGAGAAGCTCCTGTCTCCTGGCTTCGGATTGGCTCAGCTCTGGCCATTGCGGTTATTTGGGGAATGAATCATCGGATGAAGATACACACACACTCTCCCTCTCTGCCTCTGCCTCTCTGTAACTCTGACTTTCAAGTAAATAATTTTTTTTTTTTTTTTTTTTTTTTTTTTTTTACAGGCAGAGTGGACAGTGAGAGAGAGAGACAGAGAGAAAGGTCTTCCTTTGCTGTTGGTTCACTCTCCAATGACCGCCGCGCGGCGGCCGGCGCACCGTGCTGATCCGATGGCAGCAGCCAGGTGTTTCTCCTGGTCTCCCATGGGGTGCAGGGCCCAAGGACCTGGGCCATCCTCCACTGCACTCCCGGGCCACAGCAGAGAGCTGGCCTGGAAGAGGGGCAACTGGGACAGAATCCGGCGCCCCGACCGGGACCAGAACCCGGTGTGCTGGTGCCGCAAGGCGGAGGATTAGCCTAGTGAGACGTGGCGCCGGCCAAATAAATAAAATCTTTAAAAAAAAAAACAATTATTTGAAGATAACTGACTACACTGGGTGATAGTAGCCCCAACAGAGGTGTAAATAATCCTGAACGAACCTTTCAAATTTTTCTCTTTCAAAGACTTATTATCTCCCTGGAAAAATCAGGACAGCTCAACAAAAAATTTATGAAATACTCATTAGTCTAAGGGAAACCAGTTATTTCTTTTTTTAAAGATTTATTTATTTTATTTGAAAGTCAGATTTACACAGAGAAAGGAGAGGCAGAGAGAGAGAGAGGTCTTCTATCTGATGGTTCACTCCCCAATTGGCTGCAACGGCCAGAGCTGCACCAATCCGGAGCCAGGAGCTTCTTCTGGGTCTCCCACGTGGGTGCAAGGGCCCAAGTGGGCCATCTTCTACTGCCTTCTCAGGCCACAGCAGACAGATGGATGGGAAATGGAGCAGCCAGGACTAGAACCAGTGCCCATATGGGATGCTGGAATCGCAGGTGGGAAATTAACCTACTGTGCCACGGCGCTGGCCCCGAAACCAGTTATTTCTAAACAAAGGGTTTGTATGAACAAGTATTAATCATTTAATAACCAGAACCACTATCCTGTTCTGATAAATGGATTTTTAAAATACTTATTTATTTGAAAGGCCTAGAGGAGGGAGACAGAGAGAGATTTCCCATCTGCTGGTTCACTCACCAAATGCCCCCAATAGCTGGGGCTGGGTCAAGCTGAAGGTAGAAGCCTGGAATTCCATCTGAGTCCCCTACATGGGTACCAGGGACCCAAATACCTGGGCCATGATAATCCAGTATCCTCCCAGGAACATTAGCAGGAAGCTGGATGGGAAGTGAGGTATGCAGGACTCAAACTGTCCTCTGATATGGGATGTGCAAATTCCAAGTGGCGATTTAATCTGCTGCACCACAACTCCTGCCCAGATATTTAGATGTCTAAAAAGAGAACCTAGATATCACATCTTTCATGATTTGAACATGACTCACAAAGATCAAGCTATGTATTCTCCTATATGCTTACAGAATCCCTGTGATTATCCCTTGTGATTATTCTCATGGGGTAAAAACACAACAGTCTATTGCTTGTTAACTCCTCCAACAAACTACACCCCTTGAAGACAAGGGCGGCATCTTGTGTACTAAACACCTCTAGTGCCTGGTACATAGCAAACACTCATTAGATATTTGAAGAAGAAAGGAAAAGTTACATCTCTCCTTACTCCACCAGTATGTTTGAGTTCAAATGTTAGTCTGCAGAGGAGGAAAGAAGAAGTAGAAGAAGCAGAGGGCGTGAACATCGACTCCAACCCTTATAATTCACAGAAGACAAAAAAAGTATGACGTAGCTTAAAGAATGCCAGAATTTAAACCAAAAGACTGGAGCTTGAGGATCAGCTCCACTACTTGATAGCAACACAGTGTGAGCGCGCACGTGGCCTCTTCTAGACTTCATTTCCTCGGTTTTTAATATAAGTTGGATTATATGCTCTTGGATTTTCTTCCAATGAGGAAAACTCTGATTGTATGATAGGAAATTATAAAAGGACAGTTAAAGACTGAACACTGTATCATCAGTTAGGACCAATGACAAGAAAAGGTAAGATGGTCATAGAAGCTTTCCTAAAGGAGGATAACTCTTCGTAGAGATAAAGAAATACACTTAAATATTTATGTTTCAGTGACCCCATTTCTTTTCTAATTTGTTTTAATATAAATTTTCAAAGCTAAATATCTTTGATAAATTGCAGCAACATGATAGGACAAAGGACTTTTTTCCATTTAACTGTTTATATGTCTTTAAAGTTTTCGGATATAATATGTGGCAATTATCTTTCTGATCTAGTAAAAGAATTTCTTAACATACAAAACAGTACTATCCATAAAAAAGAAATTAATAGTTCTGGGGTTGGCGCTGTGGCTCACTCGATTAATCCTCTGCCTTGCAGTGCCAGCATCCCATAGGGCACTGGGTTCTAGTCCCGACTGGTCCTCTTCCAGTCCAGCTCTCCGCTGTGGCCCAAGTGCTTGGGCACCTGCACCCGCATGGGAGACCAGGAAGAAGTGCCTGGCTCCTGGCTTCAGGTCAGCACAGCCCCGGCCGCAGCGGCCATTTGGGGGTTGAACCAACAGAAGGAAGACCTTTCTCTCTCTCTCTCTCTCACTGTCTATAACTACCTGTCAAATAAAAAAAATTATAAAAAAAAGAAATTAATAGTTTTGACAACATTGAAATTAACAAATGGTCAACAAATTACATTGTTAAAGAATAGGGGCCAGGCATTTGGCCCAGCAGTTAGTTAGCCACTTGGGATTCCCACATCTCATATCAGAGTTCCTGGTTCAAGTCTTGGCTCTTCTACTTCTGATCCAGTTTTCTGTTAATGTATACCCTTTGAGGCAGCAGGTAGTGGCTCAAGTACTTGAATCCTCGCTACCCATGTGGGAGACCCAAACTGAGTTCTGGGCTCCTGGCTTCTGCTTTGCCCAGCCCTGGCTGTTGCAGGTATTTGGGGAGTGAATTAGTAGATAAAAGATCTTTGTCTTTGTCTACTTTTCTGCCTTTCAAATAAAATGAAAATATATTGGAAAGAAAAAAACAAGGCACTAACTGGGAAAAGACAGTTGTGATCCATAAAAATTACAAAGTACTTGTATCTACTAGAGTATGTAAAGTAACTCCTATATATCAATAATAAGAAACAACTCCATAGAAAAATATGAAAAGAGACCTGTGGTTTTTTGTTTTGTATTTTAGAGACCCATGTTTGACAGGAGAGGAAATGCAGAAGACCAAAAACATTTGAAAAGATGGTCAATCTCATTAGTGGTCAAATACAAAGTAAGGTCACACTGTGATCTTTTACACTCTGTAAAAATAAGAAAGGGTGGTAATGCCAACTGCTGAGAAGGCTGTTGATCAACAGGTTTGTAAAACAGTACAACCACTTGGAAAAACAATTTACCACTTTCTTACAAGGATCAACATTCACATTCTCTATGACCCAGCAGTTTCCCTCCTAGGACACATTTCATATAGAAACAAAAGGCTGGGGGCTGGCACTGTGGCACAGCAGGTAAAGCCACCACCTGCAGTGCCGGCATCCCATATGGACGCTGGTTCAAGTTCTGGCTGCTCCACTTCTGATCCAGCTACCTGCTAACGTGCCTGGGAAACAACAGAAGATGGCCCAGGCACTGGGACCCCTGTAACTATGTGGGAGACCTGGAAGAAGCTCCTGGTTTCTGGCTTCAGAGCAGCACCACTCTGGCCATTGCAGCCATTTGGGAAGTAAACAAGCGGATGGAAGACCTCTTTGTCTCTCCCTCTTTGTCACTCTGCTTCTTAAATAAATAAATAAATCTTTTAAAAATATAAGGCTGGTGCTGTGGCGCAGCAGGTTAACGCCCTGGCCTGAAGCGTCGGCATCTCATATGGGTTCAAGACCTGGCTACTCCACTCTGATTCAGCTCTCTGCTATGGCCTGGGAAAGCAGTAGAAGATGGCCCAAGTCCTTGGGCTCCTGTGCCCACGTGAAAGACCCGGAGGAAGCTCCTGACTCCTGGCTTCAGATCGGCGCAGCTCCAAGCCATTGAGGTCAACTGGGGAGTGAACCATGAGATGGAAGACCTCTCTCTCTCTCGCTCTCTCTCTCTGCCTCTCCTCTGTGTAATTCTTTCAAATAAATAAATAAATAAATCTTTTTTTTTTTTTTTTTTTTTTTTTATTTTTGACAGGCAGAGTGGACAGTGAGAGAGAGAGACAGAGAGAGAAAGGTCTTCCTTTTGCCGTTGGTTCACCCTCCAATGGCCGCCGCTGCAGCCGGCGCACCGCGCTGATCCTGGCAGGAGCCAGGAGCCAGGTGCTTTTCCTGGTCTCCCATGGGGTGCAGGGCCCAAGCACCTGGGCCATCCTCCACTGCACTCCCTGGCCATAGCAGAGAGCTGGCCTGGAAGAGGGGCAACCGGGACAGAATCCGGCGCCCCAACCGGGACTAGAACCCAGTGTGCCGGCGCCGCAAGGTGGAGGATTAGCCTATTGAGCCACGGCGCCGGCTCTAAATAAATAAATCTTTAATAAAAAAAATGAGACTGGAAAGGACTCAAGTGTCTGTTTAAAGGAGAATGCATAAACTGCAGCATACATTTACGAGACAGTATTTTAAAAGCAATGAAAAACAAATGCACTAAATTTCCTTTCAACAACATGAATCTTGGAAAAACAACACTTAAGTAAGTCCCTTTTATAAATTTGTTTTATTTTTCCATTGAATTTTCTTCTGGAATTTAAATAAATAATTTTCCTTAGTCAACAAGAAGCAGAGAGAGGGTCCTGGACATTATTAGCAAGGGCAGAGGTAACAGATGAAGGTCGCCTGCCCTCATCTCTTCATTCTCCCCTACCCGCTTACCCCTCTACCACAGCCCAGGCTACGATCTGGGAAGAGTCTGCATTATTTAAAAGATTCTGGTCAAGAGCAGGAGAAAGGGTAGAGCAGTGGAAAGGCAGGGGAGATGAGATGCTCCGGGCTGCAATCAGATTGGAGGAAATGTGGAAGAGGAACACACAGCCCTTCTCTCTAAACAAGCCTTGTGCTTCAATTACAATGATTCTATACCATAAAGTATTTTCTACTATTTAAGATTTTTCCTCATTTTGAAAAGCTGCACTTAGAAGTCATCTAATAGATATTACCTAAGTGTTTATCTAAAATATATGAACATATCAGACACAATCTTTTCCTAACCTGAAGCTGGATCAACAGTAGACTTAATTAATCTAAAAGGCAAAGAGTTTTCCTATAAATACTGCAAATTTTACAGCATACAGGTATGTCAGTTCAATAAACATTGAGTCAACAACATGACAAGACTAGCAGGATCCTGAACGCACTTTGCTGTAGAGACATATCAGAAGTGTCATCCTAGGTTTCTGGGAAAACTGAGCCCTGAAGTCTGACATCAGTGGTCTATGTGTTTGAATCACACTACTTGAGCTGTTCCCATAATCTCCCTTACTAAGTTGTACTTCAATATTTGCCCAGCTTTTTTCAGCAAGCCAAGTAAAAAAGCATTACTGCACCTGTTGCTATAAATGTGGGCGCTCTAGATATACTCTCTGTACCTAATATAAAATCCATGCCCTAGGAGGGAATTCTTTGAAAATTAAAAAACTGATTTTCCTGACAAGTTAGTACGTCTTTTTTTTTTTTTTAATCTACAACAAAAATGATTTTGCACCTTGGTTTATTTTTGGTTTGCAGGAATCTCACAATCAAATCTGGTGTTTGACTACTGTCACTTTTAACCTCATTTCAATACAGTACTTCAATTTATATTTCCCTTGATAATAATTCTCTATTCATATAATTGTTTTAGTGTTTATGGACTTGTTATAAGCTGAGCATTTTATGGAAGAGGTATGAATTAGATGAATGATTACTAACACAGAATTTCATTTAATTATTCCCAGCTATGAACAGAACAATATCATTTTAGGAGAGTTTCAGGCAAAAGAGGTGATATATATAAAATAATTAGAAAATAACTGATGAAAAGACTTATTTTTTTACATCTCACTGTTATTAAAAAGAAACAAATTTCAAAACAATATACACTCAAGATTTAAAAAAAAACACACTCACACTTGAAAACCAGCCAACAAACCAGTAAGTTCCAAACTAAGTTTGTAAAGTTGACTATTTCCTCAGAATTCTTGAGAAAGAGACATAAGAATAATGTCTCCTAAAAGATACATATTCAACAAGTTAAGTGAGTAAAAGTAACAAGACATAAGAAAATCCATAACTATAATTGTACAGTCTGACTATAAGCAGCAGCTCAGAAAGTGGGGAGAAGAATGTTTCCTAAAAAGAAAGAGGTATGGTTCACTTATAATAAATGAATTCAAACAAATCTTTAATAAAAATTTATAATCAAAAATTAATGTTACATATAAAAATAACTTTTGAATTAGCAAAATAAAACCCACCACCAGTCAGTTCATGTTTTAAAAAATATGAACTCCTCTTATTTGTGCCAAGACTAATTTTCTACCACAACATAAGAAATAAGTTACTTAACAATATTTTGGAAAAAATACCTTTTCTTAAACATGGATATCGGAATAACTTTACTATTCCATAGTCATCAGCTGTAACTAAAACTTGACCAATATGATTTCCATCTACTGAATTTATATCATTGATATCTGAATACTTGGGCCAAATTCCATTTACTTCAAGGCCTGAAACACATGTCCATGAAGCCCAATGAACACCTTTTATTTCTTCTTTATTTGTCACTTCTTTTCCTCCTAAAAATAAATCAGAGTCTTAATTTAAGAAGTTACTCCACTTGGCTTTATTCAAGTTTAAGTTATACTGATAATATGGAAAACCTGGGAATTTGAAGTATCTTTCCCACCCCAGTTAGGAGTATACATGACAAGGTAGGTTAAGTTTGGGTAAGAAGAGAAAATTAAATATGAGGAATTAACGAGAAAGACCACTAACAAAATAACATTGTTTGAGAGACACACACAAATTTGGATATGATTGCCTTAGTAGTTTCACCCATGTGGAGGATAAAACTGAATCCCATTAAAATCATGACACAGATTAGTCAGTTACAAGAAAAGGAAAAAGTTATGAGAAAGTGGCATTTAAAGAAAAATCCAAGATATATAGTTGAGAAGAGAGAACAGAAAAAGACCAGGAAATAGGGATTAGTGGGGAATAATATATTTACATCAGGTAAGAGGACTTTAAGATTCACTCTTCTTTACGTATAGACTTCATATAAAAAATTTTGAGGAAGATGCATTAGTTTAATTATGGAGTTAGTCTTATGAAATAACTTGCTGGAAGTTAGTGATTCATTCACTAAATGTCATTAAATAAAGGATTAAGGTAATATTTTGATGATTCTATTTTTATCCCTTTTTAAAAATCTTTAATGGGAATTCATCTTTTTTCAAATTTATCTTATTAACTAAGTTATTAATATTTGAAAAATTTGAGGTAACACAAAAAATCTATGGTCACACAATTTGTAGCAATTATATTTACTTGATTAGGTCCACCTATAGAAATGGCATTCTGACTCACTAATACACAGTGGGACTTTTAACCATTTACCACTCACATGGTATTAAATTTAATATAAACTGAATGTCATAGATTCTCCAAGCAAAGGAGTTTTAATTAAGAATTAAAAGGATTTAGAAGGTGGCTGCCAAGCTGGAAGATGTAGGGGTGATGGCAGATGTTGGTCAAGGGGTACAAAATTTCAGTCATGCAGGATGAATAAATTCTGGAAGAGCTAATATACAGCATATTGGCTATCATTAATAATACTGCATTATTCCAAGGTATACTTGCAGTTTGCTAGGAGAGTAGATCTTAAATGTTCTAACCACATACACACAACAATACCTGTATGTGGCGATGAAAATGTTAAGTCTGAGAGATGTGGCAATCATTTCACAATGCCAATGTAAATCAAAACATTATGTAGTAATGATATGCCATTTTTATATATCAACCATACCTCAATAAAGCTGGGGAATAAAAACCAGAAGAATTTCAGTAGGGTACACTTATAGTAAAGACCACAATGCTTGAGATAATTAGCTCAGATCCCCTTCGGTTTTCTAAAATCACATGTAATGTATACTCTGTTCCTGTGAAAAACACTGTATAGGCACTAAAAATATAAAACTGATCAATAATTTACCAGAAAATTTTACCTGGCATCCTATAAAAGAGTCTTTTCCCACTTCCATCATTTGTCTGTAAATATCTACTGTCTGAGGACCAGTCCATATGAGTAATCAAACTAAGTGATCCAACACATTCACCAACTTTTTTATAACGCTGAGCAACTCCATAGATATCAACTGAGCTGTCATTGCATCCAACAGCAAGGTAAGTTCCATCTGGTGAATATTTTAATTCATGAATTGCCTCCTTTCTGTCTTTAACATGTACAACTTCTGTCATATCTCTGTTGAAAAGAAAAAAATGACATTATATGAACAATGTAATAAAAGAATTAATTCTGTTTTCAAATGTGTCTACAATGACTGTGAGGCTATATCAACTGTCTATGAAAATAAACACTATGAAATAAATGTAAATGAGACAAGTAGTACCAGTTGAACAACAGAAATTTATGAGAACAATATATGCTAGGAATCGAAAAAAATTCTGTATTTCAGCTCCTAAATTACTGTTATTTTTTAAAGACTTATTTATTTATTTTGAAAGAGAGGGAGAGAGAGATCTTCCATCTACTGGTTCACTCCCCAGATGGCCTCAATGGCCAGCTCTGGGTCAGGCCAAAGCCAGGAGCCTTTGGGTGTCCCACGTGGGTCCAGGGGCCCAAACTTTGGGTCTTCCTCTGCTGCTTTTCTCAGGCCATTAGCAGGCACCTGGATGGAAGTAGAGCAGTCAGGATGTGAACCAGCGCCTGTATAAGATGCTGGCATTGCAGTGAAAGCTTTACTCGCTAGGCTGTACCACCAGCCCCTTAAATTATTTATTTTTAAGTACTTAACAGACCCATACTAAATTTCTGGTGTCATGAAACAAAGGAAATAGTCACAGATTTTAGGATGAAAAAAGTTTTCTGTAAATAATGAGTTTATTGGCCGGCGCCGCGGCTCAATAGGCTAATCCTCCGCCTAGCGGAGCTGGCACCCCGGGTTCTAGTCCCAGTCGGGGCGCCGGATTCTGTCCTGGTTGCCCCTCTTCCAGGCCAGCTCTCTGCTGTGGCCAGGGAGTGCAGTGGAGAATGGCACAAGTGCTTGGGCCCTGCACCCCATGGGAGACCAGGAGAAGCACCTGGCTCCTGTCTTTGGATCAGCGCGGTGCGCCGGCCGCAGCACGCCAGCCGTGGCAGCCATTGGAGGGTGAACCAACGGCAAAGGAAGACCTTTCTCTCTCTCTCACTGTTCACTCTGCCTGTCAAAAAAAAAAAAATAATGAGTTTATTAAAAATGCCCAATTATAAACATAATTTACAAACTTCTGTAATGAGCCAAATGTGCAAAATTACTTTATAAATAAAAGTGGAATTGATTTATACTACTTCAATAATACTACTGAATATATATTTTTATACAGCTACTACAAGTTATTTTTCTTCCAAATTCTTTGACATTTTTATAATATAACAAAAATCTTTGCCTAGGGACTGTTTCAAGGTGAAGTTAAACATTTTTTCAATGATGCCTTATTTTGGAGTTTCCAAAACACTAAGGGCACTAATAAGTCATAAAAACAGATAAAGACTTAATTTAACAACACAGTGATTCCAAAGCTGTGGAGCGCTGCAAGGAGAAGGAAAGTGGACAAGGAGGAGGAAATGGGATTCCTATTTCTTTCTTTCTTTTTTTTTTTTTTAAGGATTTATTTTATTTATTTGAAAGGGAGAGTTAGAGAGATAGAGAGAGGGAGAGATAGAGAAAGAGACAGAGACTTCTCCCATTCACTGGTTCACTCTCCAAATGGCTGCAATGGCCAGGGCTGGGCTAGACGGAAGCTAGGAGCCAGGAGCTTCCTCTGGTCTCCCACATGGGTGCAGGAACCCAAGCACTTGAGCCAACCTCTGCTGCTCTCCCAGGCACATTTGCAGGGAGCTGGATCGGAAGTGGAGTGGCCAGGACCTCAAACTAGTGCTCACATGGGATGCCTACATCTCAGGTGGTGGCTTTGTCCCATCATATTACATCACAATGCCAGCCTCAACAATTCTTATTTCTTTTTTTTCAGATTTTATTTATTTTACTTGAAAGTCACAGTTACGCAGAAAGAAGGAGAGGCACAGGGAGAGGGAGAGAAAGAGAGAGAGAGAGGGAGGGAGGGGGAGAGAGAGAGAGACAGAGAGACATAGAGAGAGGTGTGTGCAGGGGCCCAAGTGGGCAATCTTCTTCTGCCTTCCCAGGCCACAGCAGAGAGCTGGATTGGAAGTAGAGCAGCCAGGACTCGAACCGGTGCCCATATAGGATACCAGGACTGCAGGTGGCGGCTTTACCTGCTACACCACAGCACCAGCCCCAACAATTCTTATTTCTAATTAGTGCCAAGGACTTTTCTACATATAAATGGAACATCTGAAATGTTCCAAGCAGATAATTTCCCCAAAAGTGAAGTTTAAAAATCGATGTTTCTCAACTTTTTTAGTTTCTAAATGGACAATTTAGAGCAATCAACTTCAGATTTCTTTCAGTAATAATAAGTGCTTATCTATTTTAGGCCTGGGGGATGCAAATTTAAACTCACCTTCTTTTGTGAGAAATGGATGTAAAGTAATTACGACAAAATGTGATGATTGCCCAAAAGGACAATAGGAGACTCTACAGGAAATATTGAAAGATGGGTTAAGACTACTGGCAGGAAGGGTCCAAGGAAGGGTGATATCTGATTTAAGCATAAAACCTAAGAAGCTGGCTAAGTCTAAAAGAGGAGGGAAAGTTTTCCAGGAGGAAGACACAGCATGAGTAAGGGTGTGGAGGTAAGCAAGGTAGCACACCTGAAGACACAAGAGTAAGCAGGTAGAGACTGGGTTAAAGATAAGCTGAGTACAAGCTGTGAGGGATAGGATATGTTGCCAAGGACTTTACCATGGTACTAATTATGTAATGGAAAAGATGAAAACCAGTCCCATAACTAAAAAAGGGCATCCCAGCAAATGAAGAAAAAAAAAAAAACAGCATACATGAGTGTTCAGCAATTCACCAAACCATCCCTTCTGCCTGGACTGAACTTCCTAGCTCCTTTGCAGTCATTTGGCCACATGCCTCAGTTCTAACCAAAGATAAGGGAGGAGACACTGTAAGCCATTTCCAAGCCATGCTGTTTTAGGAAACAGGCATATTCCCTGTCCCATTGGCTAGAGGTAACTGTGGAGTCTAGGAGTGATAAAACTACAACGATATAAAAGGATCCTGGGTCTCTGAGTGACTTGAGAAAGGACAGTTACTTGACTTCTGTTACAGGTGTGAAAATTAATCTTAAGTTGTATCTGAGCCACCATACAGCTGGGGGCCTACTACGGTATATAGCATTATCCTAACAAACACAACATTAAACACAGAAAAGGAGCCCAGATTATAAAATTTAAAGCTTCCACACTTTTAGCTTCATAATATATTTTTCACTTTATTTGAAAGGCAGAGAGATCTATCCACTGGTTCACTCCCCAAATGCCTGTGACAGCTAGGGCTGGAACAGTCCGAAACCAGGAACCAGGAACTCCATACAGTTTCCCACATGGGTGGTAGGAACCCAAGTACTTGGGCCATCACTGCTGCCTTCTAGGGTTTGTATTAGCAGGAAGATGGAACAGAAGCAAAACCTGGCCCCAAACCACACATTCTGATAGGTCATGAGGCATCCCAAGTGGCATCTGGCCCCGTACTTTCATTTTTAAACTTTCCTGGTCAACATTACTTTTGCCTTAGACTCTGCAAGTTGCAAAAGTCCTCTCTATGCCTAGACTCACAAAGCTACTTCTGCTTTTCCCAGGGACTCTTTCAAGTTATAATTAAACCTGGGCAATTTATTTCCTTTTGCCCCACATCCCATCCATTTATTCATCCATATCTCTATGGAGCAAGACTTTTAAGAAAGCACCTAAAGCACTACTTCACAACTTCTACTCTTTAAGCCTCCTTTCATAATGATATCATCATCTTCACAAACCTTAAATAAAATGCTTCTGGAAAAATCGTCAAGTTCTCTTGGTATTTTTAACAGTATTTTTGTTCTAGAGATTTAACTGTTCTCAATTAATGACACAAAAATCTCAGGTTTCTGTCAGAATACTGCCTGACCACCAACATACACAAAAACAGAAAACAGTGAAGGAGACATATTCTGGCTGATTAACTGGTTTTATAGTATGAACTATGTTCCACGGCAACCAATTATGAATTACGTGACTACCAGTTCTCATGCAGTTGTTTCTCTGACAAATGTAAAGGAAAAGTGAAAACTGGTTAAAAATTCTGAATCAAATCTTCTGTGAACCTTATCAGTGAATGCTATAGCTTATTTAAGCAGCAGAGGGAGGCCAAAGCTTGGGAATACGCACAGACCAACAGTCTGTAATCTATTACAGAGCAATGGTACAGCACCGACCAAAGACCACTTTTGTCTTTTCATACAATTAAAAATAAATAAGGTATTTGTGTGTATCATGATTTTTTTCACATCAAAGGATTTTTTTTAAACTGCTCTTCCACCCAAGAGCACTGCTAAAATGTGCTCAGTATGCCCTTACTGACCAGAGAATCATTTTTAGCTGACAGAGTCCAGGGAGACACACCAAAGAAAATGGAATAGATATCACTGATGTTGAAACTTTATTTCAAGGAATGAATGGGACTTAGCTCAGCACAAGACAGAAACCAGGAGGTATAGGACCCATCATGTTTCACAACAGATAAGAGTATACAAAGGGCTAATGTCAAGAAAAAGTGTTCAAGTTCAGCTTCAGAGCACATGCAGTTATACTAACACGAGCAAGTGGATTTCAGAGTCAGTTCAGTCTGGTGAGGGAGGCTGAGAGAAAACCATGAAAGGCTTCCTGTCTGATTAAGATTTTTGGCCTTAAATGACTAGTTTAAGCTATGGCAGGATATAACAATCAGATTACTGATATTGTTCCATGATGAAAAAAGAAATTGAAATAATATAATGGTAGGACCAAAACCAATTAAGTTTCTGTAGATGGTGACTGCTCAGACTTCAGAAAGGAGTGAATTGATTTAAAAAATATATTAGTGGGGCCGGAGCTGTGACATAGTAGGTAAAGCTATTAACTGCAGTGCCGGCATCCCATATGGGCGCCAGTTCAAGTCCTGGCTATTCTACTTCCAATCCAGCTCTCTGCTATGACCCGGTAGGGCAGTGGAAGATGGTCCAAGTCCTTGAGCCCCTGCACCCATGTGGGAACCCAGATGAAGCTCCTGGGAGTAAACCAGCAGATAGAAGACCTCT